TGGTGTGTGTGTTGTGTGTGTTGTGTGTGGTGTGTGTGGTGTGTGTGGTGTGTGTGGTGTGTGTGGTGTGTGTGGTGTGTGTGGTGTGTGTGGTGTGTGTGATGTGTGTGGGGTGTGTGGTGTGTGTGGTGTGTGTGGTGTGTGTGGTGTGTGTGGTGTGTGTGGTGTGTGTGGTGTGTGTGGTGTGTGTGGTGTGTGTGGGGTGTGTGGTGTGTGTGGTGTGTGTGGTGTGTGTGGTGTGTGTGGTGTGTGTGGGGTGTGTGTGGTGTGTGTGGTGTGTGTGGTGTGTGTGGTGTGTGTGGTGTGTGTGGTGTGTGTGGTGTGTGTGGTGTGTGTTGTGTGTGTTGTGTGTGTGGTGTGTGTGTTGTGTGTGGTGTGTGTGGTGTGTGTGGTGTGTGTGGTGTGTGTGGTGTGTGTGGTGTGTGTGTTGTGTGTGTTGTGTGTGGTGTGTGTGGTGTGTGTGTTGTGTGTGTTGTGTGTGGTGTGTGTGGTGTGTGTGGTGTGTGTGGTGTGTGTGGTGTGTGTGGTGTGTGTGGTGTGTGTGGTGTGTGTGATGTGTGTGGGGTGTGTGGTGTGTGTGGTGTGTGTGGTGTGTGTGGTGTGTGTGGTGTGTGTGGTGTGTGTGGTGTGTGTGGTGTGTGTGGTGTGTGTGGGGTGTGTGGTGTGTGTGGTGTGTGTGGTGTGTGTGGTGTGTGTGGTGTGTGTGGTGTGTGTGGTGTGTGTGGTGTGTGTGGTGTGTGTGGTGTGTGTGGTGGGTGTGGTGTGTGTGGTGTGTGTGGTGTGTGTGGTGTGTGTGGTGTGTGTTTTTGCTCACACTCCTTTTCGACTGCAAGGTTCGTGCCAGCCATCGGCATGTGCCGGTTCCAAGTGTTTTGGAATCAGTGTGGCTGAAACCCAATTGCCAGGCCTTATGTACACTTCTCGATTTGTGCACTGCAGGCATATCCATCGTGGAAAAAGAAAACGTCTCTGGAAAAATAAAATCGCTGTCATTGCTTCGTGCTGGATGGCGCAGTTTCATCGGAAGGCAACAGAGGTCCGGTTTGCCCCAGCAATGTCAGTATCTGGGTAGCCAGGTCAGCTGGTGGTGAGTTCTGGTTTGCTCGAGGCACATAAAATGGAATCTGAATGCAGTCCGCTCTGATGAGCCATATCACTGTCAGATTTTCACGAAAACCAGGTGGGATGTCCCAACAGGCCAATGGAGGCATGTTGTCCTGGGTCAGTAACCATTTCACTGGATGTGCAGACAGCACCGTGGGCTGAATCTTCAGGAGTGCCTGATAATGGCCGGCCTGATCAGCGCCCTGGTGTGATGCTGCTGCAACCGGAATATAGTTCACTGTTTCGCATTTAGTGTCTCTTGCAAGAAAGAAAGGGATCATGGCCTCTGTGTCCAAGTCTACTGCACAACTGCATTTCTCGATCTGGCCAGGTGCGGATTCAATCATTCTGTCAATGTGCAAACATACTATGGGCGCCGCTTGGAGCATTGCGGCACGCATGCCATTTGCCTGATGCCAAAAGCGGATCAGGTCATCAATTTTGCAAGCATCCATGGTGTGCGTGCTGGGTGGAAACTGCAAAAAAACTGGCATGCATGTGTGGCTCTGGTCATGGCACTGTGCAGTCTCAGCAAGTTCAAATCTGCGCTCCCATTTCAGGTCGATGTCAGGTGAGTCAAGCCATAGTATGGCTGCTCGCACAAACTCACTGCAATCCTGCTGGGCTTGTGTGAAACCCCAAGTTTCAAGCAACTGAACAAACCATGGGTAATGGGTCAGCATGAGAGATGTGTCTTTGCTATCAAGAATGAACTGCATCAGTGGCTTGAAGTGCGGCCCCCATGAAAAAACCTCACAAGTGTTCAGGCTCAAGAGAGTCCAGAGCAGGCCATACATTGTCGTGTTGGCATAGCACCAGTTGGTATCATTGCGCAAGGTCATGTGTGACACCAGCATGCGTAGCTCATGGATCTTTTCAGGAGTCAGCTCTCCTGTGTCTTCTTGCCCTTGGTCCGAGATTTCCCCGTCCCTTTGCTCTTGCCATGCAAGGGAAGAAGTTGTTGAACCTGCTTTGCTAGGCCGCTCTGTTGCATCGAGTGCACCTTCAGGGAAGTGCCCGCCAGAAGCCAAACTGACGAATGTGTCAGCTCCCTCATCAGGTCGTAGGGACGGTTGCTGCGCAGGTTCAGCTGAAGCTTCCAAGGTACCGTTGCCTGAGCATGGCTGGTGCTCAGTCCTTGAAAACGGACCACTAATGTCGGATCTCTGAACTCCTCTATGAGTTCCTGCAGATGCTCCAGCATTTTGGGCATTGTCACTGCCTTCTTCTTGTCCACCGCCAGGCTCTTCTTGGTGGGGTCCCACCGCAGAAAGGGCCAGCTCATGTCCTCCAAAATCAGGTTGCGGTCTCTGCAAGCCTGGAACAAGACCTCCCCTGGCTTGCTCTTGGAGACCTTCGTCGTTCTGTTCAGTAGATCCTGTAGGAGATGTTGGCATAGGTGTTGGCGCAGCGTGGTGGTCATGCCCATGGGGTTCGATTGTCTCTGCTGGTGCCACTCTTGGGTCGCTGTCAAGAGTCCGTGGAGAGCGCTCTCCTGGTCTTGCTGGAAGAACAGAATGAAACAATCTGTGCTTTGCAGCAGATTCCAGTTGTGCTCGTGTCGGAGCGTCAGCTGCCCCAGCACCTGGAGGTATTTGAGCAGCTGTTGAGGTCCTTGGCCTTGCTGATCTTGATCGGCTGGATCGCCCTGAGTGGTGGTGTCCATCCGTCGTGATTTCTGAGGCTTTGGGTTCGGCTGCAGCTTGAGTGACTTGTCCAAGAGAGGCGTCAAGAACTGATAGGTCTCTCGGATTTGAGCAAGGGCGCTCTCGTCCCATCCATTCATCACCGAGTCGCCCTCCATTAAGGGCAGTGCCCAAGAGCAAGAGGCACTGTAGCGCCACAGGACAATTGCCACGCAAGTGAGTTTGGACCAGTTCGAGTCTGCTATTGTCAACAGGCTGCGCAGGATCAGGCGGAGGCAGGTTGAAAATTTGCAAACAGAGATCACACTGAAAATCATTGCTGAGCTGGGCTTGCATGAGTGGCAACAAGGTCGTGCAGTAAAAGTCAATGAACTGGTGACCAGTCAAATGTGCCTCATGTAAATGGCGGTTCAGCAATCCAGTGTGGTGCGTCTGGCCACAGATCACGCATGCATTTCGAAGCATGTCCAAGGCCTCAGGGTTGGTCCACAGGGCAGGAAAATCTCGATTGGCAAAAATCTGTCAAAATGAAACGCTTGTCTCTGGGAATGGATGAATGGGCAATGTGTGTCAGGGCCTGTTCAGTGATTTGCACTGGCATGAATGTGGCAGGCTCCATGCGGCAAAAGGCCATGGCAATCTGCCTCAGCGGCAGGCATATATGAGTGTTCCGTATCTGGTTGATTTGCGGGTTGCACATGCAGCCATGTCTGGCAAAAACAAGCTCGACCATCAAAAGAGTCAGTCCCTGGGCTTGCCTCCACAAACGAGAGTGATTGGACATCAGGTGGTTGGCAAGGTCACAGGCTCGTTTGTAGGCCTGTGAGCAGTGCAAACAACGCAAGGTCAAATGGAGTCGTGTCATTGGGGCCCGAAGCTGCTGGAGAAGTTGTCCATGCAGGCAAATGTCAATCATGGCCTGGGTGATGGGCCTGGTCTCCGATGCTGCCATTGGATTAAACATTGGACAGCGTCCTTGGCATATGTGGCTGCGCAGGCTCTCCATCGAGGCATGCGGTGAGCCGCAGTGTGCGCATGCAGCCTGGGAGTCCAGGCAATCTCTGGCAGCATTGAAAGTGAGTCCAGCCAATCTATGCTTTGTCTGCAAATGCTGTGTCAACTGAGCAGCATCAGGGAACATCTCAAGGCAGATATCGCATCGTTGAGCTAGGTCAGGTTGCAAATCTCTTTCAGAGATCACAAGGCCTCCGCCGTGTAGCATCATGATGGATATTTGTGTCCAGACCAAACACTTGTGTGTGCGGAAAGGGCTCCCGCATTGCGCACATGGTGTGTCAGTGCTGTGTAGGTTCGTCAGAACTATGGACTTCTGAGGAACGTGGGTCCAAAATTCAGCGTGTTCTGTCTTGAAATGAAGATGAGCGTCCTGCGCTCGGTGCACTTGTTGTCCACACAGAAAGCAGCAGCGCGACAAATATCGGCAGGCCTCATGTTCATTGGTTAAACGGTCCAGGGTGTCATCTGCAATCAACTTCAAGACACGGTCGCCCCAAGGTTGTTGTCTCAGGAGTGCAAGGTCAGCTTCCGACAGGAGCTTGCTACCCCTGAGTGCTGTGCTGGTGTCAGCAGGCGCTGGGTGATGTGTCATCCCAGTCGATGTCCCCACGCACGGTGGTGGGCCCAATTGGATCGCCTGGCAGCCGCGTTCAAGGTGGATTTTAAATGTTCGCCAGGTGGTGAACTTGAATCCACAATGTTTACATTGGGGCAAACCATCAGTGGCATGTTGTGCAACAATTGTGTTATGGGTCCTGAACATCTTGATGCCATGCTGGAGGGCGCAATGTCGTCGGAAAACTGATACATCATTGGTGTCAAAGGGACACAATCTGCAGCGATATGCAAAATCAGTGCCAGGAACCTCGCCAGAGAGAGCAGTCTCAGCACGCAATGTCAAAAGGGTGGCCTGAGCTGTGTCGATCATCTGTCGCAGGGCTAACAGGTGATGCCAGTTGACATTACGGGCAATGTCACTGGTCTGCATGATCAATTGTCTCTGGGCGACTGACTGCAAGAGTGAGTCAGCAGCAGTGATCAGCACATCCGCTGGGCGCAGCAAGGAATAATGTTGAAAAACAAAATCATTGGTATGGCCTGTGTGGTGTGCATGATCTCTAGCAATCAGTCTGGTCATCTTGCCAAGTTGTACCAGCATGTGCTGAATGCCTTTGGGTGTAGTGCCAACCGCAAAAACTCCATATGTCATGATAGGTACTATGCAAGTGCGCCACAATTGAAATCTGTGCTTCAGTGGAAAAAGATGATTGCTGCAGAGCCATTTGCGCAGGCGTTGGAATCCAATCATTGCCAACTTGACTCTATGCCAGGTGGTGGAATCTTCAAACTGGCCATAGCTCATGTAGCATCCAAGATATGTCGCCTGTGTCTGTAGTGGAATCTGCATGTGTGCGCCAGACGGCATGGGGATTTTTAGCTTCACGCCATGTTGGTCTTTGTGCAAAAGCTGAGCACGCTTCTGTCGGCTCTTTGGTCCATGCATCGCAAGAAGAGCCACAGATTTCTGAGGGTTCAGGGATAGATCAAAGTCATGTAGGGTCTGAAAAAGGATGCCGATGGCCTTGAGGAGGAAATCAAGCTCAGTCATGTTGGTGAATAAACCCCCGATATGGCAATCGTCAGCATATATGGTGAGATGATCGCATATCCAAGTGTAAGGCAAATGGTGTTGGAGTTCGTGCAACATCAATACCATAAGGCTGTTCCATAAAAACGGCGCTCCCTTACACCCTTGTCTCAGTCCCTTCTGCACTGCGATTGGAATCCTCTCACCATCATGAGAAACAAAATATGCAGTGTCCACATGCCAGCTCTGCAGGATGCGGGTGATGTTGGTGTCAATCCCTAAGGTGGACAGCTTTGCAAAAAGTTTGACCCTATTAACACTGTCGAATGCTCTTTCCAGATCCACAAAAACCTGAAGTCCACCGCATATAGGCATGCGGGGGAGTTGCATGGCCCTGGAGTGTGGTGTCGATCTTTGGGATTGAACCAACAATCGAGCCGCCCGGCAATGCCAGGCAACTTTGGCCAGCGGGTCTTGCGTGGAGCGGTGGGCCAAAAAAGCCCAAATGGGCCACTTCCGAAACTCCATGTCAGCTTGCCTAGAGGCCATTTGGATAAGCAGGCCCATGACGGCCTTGCCCAGGGGGCACATCATCGCTAATGGTCTGAGGTTGGCAGGTCTAACAGGGGGTTTATTGGGTTTAGGGATTAGCTGGAGCCAACCAGAACGCCATGAAAACGGGATCCATGGGGTGTCATAGTTCCACCACCTAGTCAAAATGGCATGCAAAACTGGAGCAATCAGGTCTGCTGTGGAGTTCCAGGTCGGCCCCGGAGCGCAGGGTGCCACAACAGCTTTCCCGGTGGGAATCAGTTTCAATGCAGCCACAAGGTCCTGGATGGTGAAAGGCACGCCAGTTGGTGGCCCGGGTGTTGGCATGGGCAGTGGTTCTCCCTTCCAGGTGTCTCGGACAAATGCTACAAGCATGCCTCGTTCTTCTGAAGGGGTGATGAGATGTCCCAGCTCATTACGCAGTTGGAGCCTTCTTTTTGGGGTTTTAGGAGAATGTCGGTTGATGAGATCAAACAGCCTGTGCGTATCATGCGCAGTGGCAGCTTTTGTGGCCTCTTGCAGGAGCTCTTGGAACTTCATGCGTCTCAAGTGGTTGGCAAACCTACGTTGGTGGCGGTTGAGAGCAAGAAACCGACACACATGATACCATGCCCGGAAGAAGGCAGCCTTGGAATGTTCTCGGATTTGTTGCAAAATTTTGCGATGTGTCCATTTATTGGTGATCACAGGATTAGACTGCCATGGTGATGGACTGATTGCAGTGCTTGCGGCAGGAAAAAACTGTGAAAAATGATGCAAAGCATGATCATGTACTGTGATGAGGTCATCAGCTTCTGAGGTCAGGACCTGGGTCAGGTGATGGCTCAAGTCTGGGGCGACAGTTGCCACATAGTTCTGCCATGCAGTGCTGTTGGTCATCTTGGCAATGCGTCCCTGCAGTTTTTGATGGGGCGTCAAGCCAGTCAGCTTTGAAGTGGGGGGAATCCAGTACATAGCAATGTGGCCGATGAGAACAGCATGCCCCGCCTGTGCAAATGGCTGAAATGGTGCATTCCAGAGGCACTGGATGTCTCGGGCTTTGCCATCAGCAAACTGCTTGCGGGTGCAAAAGTAGTCAATTCGGCTTGTCCCGCCTGTTGAAATGAAAGTAGGGCCAGTGCTGGAGTTCCACGTATTCAAAGCTACGAGTCCATGCTTTTTCAAGACAGTCAGGAATCTGTTGGAATCTGGGTGCGTAGTACCAGGTATGGTCTTATCTTGCCAGCGGTATTTTGCATTGCCGCAGATTCCAGTCGCAGCTGGCAGGCTGCAGTTCAGATCTCCTAACAATGTGAGTGTATTCCTTGCCGGGAGCTGCGTCAAAAGGCTGTCAAGAGCCGTCCAAAACTGCTCTCGGTGTTGCAAGCAGGCTTTGTCTCTGGTGAACACATGTTGGTAACATCCAACGATGTCGATGTTCCGTGTTGTCTGCATGAGACGGACGTGAACTAGTCTTCCTGGGACAAGTTCGTTCCATCTGAGGTCTGCTGCTTTGCAAAGACGCTTGGCAACAAGAATTAGTACACCTGATCCACGATGAGCCTGATCAGCACTGTGGATGTGGTGCCACTCTTGATCGCTCCAGGTGGATTGGAAGGACCATCTCGTTTCAGAGATGACCGCAACCTGGATCTTCTGCATGTGAAGCCAAAGTTTTATCTCATCCAACCTATGGCTCGCAAGTCCTCCCCCATTCCAGGCGGCACACAGCAGGCGTCTCTTGGGTGCATTATGGTGATGGCACTGGGTGACATCAGGTGGCTTGGGCTTGGGCAGGTCAGTTGTGATGGGTTTCATTCCCATGCGCAAAAAATCTTGAGCGGTCATGCAGCGGCCTCTGTACCAGGTCATGCCTTGGGCATGTGCCCGTCTTTGAGCACGGTGCAAGCTTCTTTTAACTACTTTGGGATGTGGCTTGGGTTTCGGCTCCATTTGTGCGCTGGTGCGCATTGGTGGCTGCGATCCATGTAGCTTTGCGTCGTTCGCTGTGGGGAGAAAAGTGGATGGCCATGACGCTTCAGCACCCCCCATGGTAAGGGTGCAACCCTCGCCCCTGTCGGCACCAGGAAAAAAAGGATAGCTAAACATCACTGCGCTGCAGAGAAAGCTAAGGTGCCAGTGCCAACGTCTGGATTTGGGACCAGACTTGCGGCTGTTTCTGTGGGAGCCAGCAAAACTGTGAACGCAGAATCGTGCCGTGCCTGTGGGTCTGGAATACTCAATTGCCCAATGCTGAAAAGTCCACTCAAACAAATAACGAAATGTCACAAATGCAAGAGCAAGCAGTAAACAAGAATGTGGAAGCCGTCTGGTGACTTCAGTGATTGAGAAATTAATGTAATCCGTGCTGTCGCACTCAGCAAGGATACCACTCAAAAAGGCCAGTGAGACAATGAAAAGGGAGCCTACCCCTGTGAAATAATTTGCAATCCAACTTGCGACCACCGTCAGCAGGAGAATGAGGCAAATTCGGAAATATTCAGAGCAGATTGTGCAGTTTGGTGTCACTATCAGCGGTCCGGAAGCCAGGCAAGCCACTTGCGTCGAGTGCCACTGAATCCTGTGATGCCAAGGTTGCCACAATAAACTACAATCAGTAGTGACTGTATCCCTAGCGAGCAGCAAGAAGTTGGCAGAATATTGGCTAGAAAAATTGGTCAAATTCCGCCGTCTCTCACAGGTCAGGGAAATATCAGTGTATGGAACCCCACTGCAGAAGGTATGTTGATCAGTCACTGAGTTGTGAAAATCACCAGTCTTGTCGTGTCCAAAAAAAGGTTCCGTCGGGCCAGAGTCAATGAGGAGTCCACCCTCAAGCTGCGTTGAATCAGTGTAATAAACCCCACTGCAGAAGGTATGTTGATCAATCGCTGAATTGGAAAAATCGCCTGTCTTGTCGTGTGCAAGAAAAGATTCCGTCGGGTCTGAGTCAAGGAGGAGGCCGCCCTCAAGCTGCGTTAAATCAGTGTAAGTAACCCCACTGCAGAAGGTATGTTGTTCAAACGCTGAATTGGGAAAAACTCCTGTCTTGTCTTGTCCCGGAAATACTTCCGTCAGGCCAGGGTCAGGGAGGAGCCCACCCTCTGTCTGTTGCAGGTCAGTGTGATAAACCCCACTGCAGAAGGTATGTTGGCCAATCGCTGTTTTGAAAAAATCACCTGGCTTGTCGTGTCCAAGAAATGATTCCGTCGGGCCAGAGACAAGGAGGAGCCCACCCTCAATCTGCGTGGAATCAGTGTGGGAAACCCCACTGCGGAAGGTATGTTGACCGATCGCAGTGTTGGAAAAATCACCTGTCTTGTCGTGTCCTAGAAATAATTCCGTCGGGCCAGAGGCAAGGAGGAGCCCACCCTCAAGCTGCGTTGAATCAGTGTAAAAAAACCCACTGCAGAAGGTATGTTGTGCAAACGCAGGATTGGGAAAAACCCCTGTCTTGTTGTGTCCAAAAAATAATTCCGTCAGGCCAGAGTCAAGGAGGAGCCCACCCTCTGTCTGTTGTAGGTCTGTGTGAGTAACCCCACTGCAGAAGGTGTGGGGGGTCTCCTTTGATTGCAAAAAAAATTCGCCACCAATATCTGTTTCGCAAGACCACGGGCCAGTAGCAAGGAGGAGCCCACCCTCAAATTGCTTTGAATCAGTGTAAAAAACCCCACTGCAGAAGGTATTGTTCTGTACTGGAAGAGCCAAATTAAATGTTGGATCAAAAACTGCTTGCAAGGCTTCCAGTGTGGTGTCAATTGGTCCGTTTGCCAAAAAAATGTCAGGCACTGTTGCTCTCCAATCCGGTGAATCGGAAGAAACGCCGCTGTGTTGGTCAAATGGTATCCAAAAAGGGTCAGCCCCACCGCAGAAGGCCCCAAGTGTCAAGAAGACACAAGATGTTCGGTGTAGTAAAATAAACCTCTTTGCTTGCTCAAAAAATTGAATTGAGGAATTGAAATCGTGAAAAATCGTGGACTTCCAGTGGCGCAAACTGAAAAAGAATCTTCTCAGTAAATTGGAAATTGGCAGGTGAGCCCCACCGCAGAAAGCTCCGAAAATTAAAAACAGTGTCACCAGAAATAAATCGTATCTGAAGTCGAGCGCCGTTTTGTCAGTTCCAATGTCAGGCAATATTGTAATGATCCCAGCAGCGCAATGGATGAAGGCAATGGCACAGCGCGGGCGAGGAATCAACGTGGGCACAGTTCTGCAGCTCCTCGCTGCTCGCGCGCGGCTCTCGCGGCCGCAAAGGGGCTTGTGTGTGTGTGTTTGTGTGTGTTTGTGTGTGTTTGTGTGTGTTTGTGTGTGTTTGTGTGTGTTTGTGTGTGTTTGTGTGTGTTTGTGTGTGTTTGTGTGTGTGTGTGCGTGTGGTGTGTGTGTGGTGTGTGTGTGGTGTGTGTGTGGTGTGTGTGTGGTGTGTGTGTGTGTGTGTGTGGTGTGTGTGTGGTGTGTGTGTGTGTTTGTTTTTTTTTCCCACGCTTCTTTCTATGGAGAATCCGCGCGCGCCAGCAGCTGAGAACCTATTGTTCCAGCCGGTTCTCTCTGTGGAGAAACAGGGTGAGCCTTAGCAGCTACTGGCGACATGCAATCAGTGGCAAAAATTGCATGTCCCGTTCTTGATGAGTCCTAGCAGCTGTATCCAACGTATCATTGGCATTGGGGGAATTGGTGAAACGACAGGGACTTATTGGAGAAGCAATTTTTTTTATTTTTTTTTGTTTTTTTGGTGCCCTGTCCGGCCTGGGTACACTCTGGGGTTGCCAGAGGGCATGGAAAAAGGGGGATAAACCGGTTGGGCACCGGGTGCATGTGCAGCAGGTTCAGACTTGGTGCTTGAGCAGGTCAGGTCCTGATAGAGGCATCAGCGCCAAAATGGCGTGCAATATCGAGATGTCGCCGGCTAGGCAAAAGGCAAATGGTTGGCTCTTCTCAAATTCCTGTGCCGCCACTGGACTGCTCACTAAACGAGTCAGCCACGTTGGGCGCATTGTGAAACGGACCTAATTTTTTTTTTTTAATACTGGCCTTCGTGACACATTGGGCTAAGCCTCTTGGACCAGTTTTTTTTTTTGAAACTGGAGGTCCACCTGAGGGTTTCTCAGGCCTGAGGGATAAGCCTGCCTGGGGGCAGGGTGCCTGAAAAGTGCACGAGGACGTCAATAAGTCCCGTGCCATGCAAGGTCGAATGCGCCGGCAAGGAGCAAAATGCTGGGATAGGTTGCACCAAAATGGCATCAGTTTCGATTTCACCTGCTAGGCAATGGCAAAATGCCAGGGTGATACAAGTCTGGAGCTACTGGCTGGATACCTTGTGCACTTATCGCAGCCAGTAGACTTCTTTGTCGCTGACTGGGCTTACCCTGTATCATGAATCCTAAGCAATCACCATAGCAAAAACCGGTGATGCATCTTTTTTTTTTGTGTGTGTTTTTTTTTTGGTTTTTTTTACGTGGTGCCAGTCAGCAAGTGCAGCAACGTGGTGTCTGGCGTGGTGGCATTGGGCGGCTGGTGCCAGTCATGCAACTCGATGAGATCCGTGCGGCACAGCCAAACACATGTGACCCCAGCCATGAATCCCTCTGGGATATACGTGCAGGGCTTGGGCTTCCTGCAGTCATCGCAGTCCAGCCAATATGCTGTAGCATCAAGGCCAACATGACCTGGCTCAGTGCGCAAGAGCGCGCGATAATGGCCAGCATTTGACTCACCATAGTGTGCAAAGGCCGCAACCGCCTGGTAGGCCTCCCATCTGCAGTCCAGTGTGCTACCTTGGAACACTGGTACCTGAATGTTTCCTGTGAAAATGATGGGTGTCTGCATCTTGTAGAGTGCACCTTTGGATGTTTGCACCATCCTTTCCAAGTGAACACAAAAGACCTCTGGAGGGCGCAACAGACCTGCACTCATGCCAAGCTCCCCGTGCCAGCTCCTCAGCATGTCAGTCAGACGGATCATACCATTGGTGACGTGTGTTGGCTCAAGTTGCAGAAACAGTGGTTGATGCCTGTCTCCGTGGTCATGGATCAGCACATTTTCACACTGCATCCATCGTCTGTGCCAATAGCTGCAATAAAATGCAGGTGACACCCACTGAACCAGCATTTGTGTGAACTCGGCAGAGTCCGCCTGACCATGATTGTCATCCCAATGAAGTGTGAGGTCTTCATACCATGTCTGACTGTCTATGGAATAAGGTTCAGGCGAACTCAGCATTTCACGAAACAAAGGGGCTGGTATTCCCCAATCAGCGTAGCTGAAGCGCGGTCGCGACAGGCTGGCCCAAAGGAAGCAAGATACCGCTGCATTGGCATAGCAAAGGTGACTGGAGTTGTCCAGGACAAGATTGGTCAGGGCAGCACGCAAAGCGTTGCGTGCTTGCCTGTTCAAGTACTCTTCTTCTTGCCCTTCCCCTGGCCCTTGCCTTTCTGGCCCGTCAACAGTTGCTCCAGCATCTGGGTCGGTCTGCTCGTCGCCTGTGAGTGCTGTTTCAGTGATGCTCCGACAAGCGTCCACAGCGTTGACTGCGTCATGCCCATCAGGGTGTTCCACATTTCGGTTTCTCTGAGGCTCAACTCGATCATCCATGGCACCACCGTGGTCTGCGGCTTCAGGCTGTGAAAGCGCATGACCTGCCCCTCCTCCTGCAGCAACTCCGTGAGCAGCTGTACCTCTTTGAGTCCTGGCCATCCCCATGGGTTTGCGATGAGATCGGATCAGCTTCTTCTCCTTGTGACACCAATGTTGAAACGGCCAAGAGCCGTCCGCTAGGATCACTCCCTCTTGTACTGCCGTGTCCCAGATTGGATTGCCCTGCGAGCTCTGTGAAAGCTTCACCAATCTCGTTTGCAGCTCCAGGATGACGCTCCTCAACAGGAAGGTCCTCAGGGTCAATGGATTGGCCTGGTCGTTGCTCTTCTGCGTCTTCCAGGCCAGGGCCTGTTGTGTCAGCACCCCCAGAGCACTGCCTGGATTGGTTTGGACGAACAAAACGAAGCAGGTCTGTCTGTGTTGCATCTGGATGGCCTTGTCGTGCTGGATGATGACCTGTGCCATGAGTTTCACCATGCCCAGGAGTGCTTTCTGTGTTGGACCGTGATCGTCCTCCTGCTTCACCATGGCATGGCGGTGTTTTTTGGGATTGGGTTCGTCGTCGTTTGAGCGGTGGTACTGACTGGCCTGCAGCAGCAGGGGTCCCAGCGCCGCAAACGAGTTCAGCAGCTCCGTATCTGCTTGATCCATCATGGGCTGATCTGCCATGGATCGGAAGGAGCAGGAGGGCAATTTGGTGAAGCACTGGGCAGCACGCTGTAAAATGTGCTTGGACCATGGCAGTGCGGTCAGCAGGCTCATCCCCAGTGGGGTGTTCAGTATTGAAAATCAATGCACAAAACTTACACTGAAAATCATTCGATTGTTCACGGAGAAAGCATTGCACAAGTTGAAATTTGATCTGAGCCGCCCACTGACTGTCGTCATGATGTTGTGCCACCAGGTGCATCGTCAGTGCTGCTGGATGAAATTGTATGCCACAAAGCACGCAACGTTGTCTGAGCATTTGCAACAGCGTGGGAGCATGCCATAAATGACTGTAATCTCTGTCCACCAGCACATTGAGCATCATGTCCACATGTGGGTTGGGCAGCAGGTGTCTGTAGGCCATGCGCAGGTCAGCGTCACTGAAATGCCAGGGGATCAGGAGGTCTTGCTCACTGGTCAGGAAAATCATGGACAGCTGTCTGATCACATTGCAAATGTGGGTTCGGCTCACATCATGGGTGGAAGGGTTGCAAAGGCATCCCACATATGGAGTCAACGTCTGCAAGAGGAAGCGGACCATTTCACCTGACTGAGCCCAGAGCTGTGCGTGCGTCTGTTGTAGATGCGCGCTTAAGTCATTGCTTCTTGAGTACACCTCCCCGCAGAACTGGCAATGGAGCGTCAACTGAAGCCTCTGTTGTGCTGGCAAGCCTGTGGTCGAAATGGCTCCCGACTGAAGGTTCAGGGCCCATTTGGCTGCCGCATTCAGTGGCGTGTTGGACGCCATCGGCTCAAAGAACGGGCAGCGCCCGTCAGTTATGTGACGACGCAATCCTGCACGTGTGGCATATATTTGGCCACAGTGACTACATCCATTGCTCTCCGGGAGAGAGTCCCTGGCAGCGTTCCAGTCGTGGATTTGGACTTCATGGTCAGAACTGAGGTGAGCATGTAATTGGGCTGTGGTTTCAAACTCCATGGCACAGATATCACAGCATAACTGGTTGCAGGTGAGGTCAAGGCAATGCAGAGCCAGGGCCGCCAATTGAGTGGCCACTTTGCACATGTGCCCCCGCTTGAAGGGTGTCTTGCAAAGCACGCATGGACTAGTGCTTGGCATCAGCTTCGTGATCTGCGCTGACTTGGTAAAAATACCCTGCGTCAGGTCTGGGTGATGAAGCCGGTAGTGGCCATTCATTTCTTGGCAGCGATTGTTCCAAATGCCGCACACCATACATGAGTGTGTAAGGTACTGACTTGCATCTGGAAGCTCAGCAACCTCCTGCCACGCCTGTCGCTGGATCTTGTCCTTGAGCTCCGTCCAGAACGGCTGTATGGTGACATGGTAGTTGGATGACTCAGCATGGGAGCTACCCCTGGCCTGGTTGGTCGACCGGGGCTGTGTCAATCTCGTCAGTTGGGGTGCCTGACAACAATTGCGTTCGACATGAATTAGAAATCTTCTCCATGTGGTGAAATGTTTGTGACAATGGATACATTGTGGACGTCCATTCAGGGACATGTCCAAGATGGTGTGATTGTATGTGCGATGTTGAGTTGTACCGTGAACAGCTGTATTGTGTCTGCGCAAGTTGGGAATTGAGTGAGTGACAAAGTTGCATTGCTGGCATTTGTAGCGTACCTGCATCTGCTGGCAATCATCATCCCCAGGTCCAATGGGCACCTCCGGAAAGCTGGTTGCAATGGTTTGGATCAAATTCAGTGTGTCTTGCAAATGGGACCAATCAACATACCGGAGAAAATCATCTGGTGTCAACCATTGCTGCCTCTGTTGAAGCCGATGCCATAGGCTCTGAGCTAGCTGAAAGAGGATTTCCATTGGCTGGGCATGGTCATATGCAAGAAGTACCTGCTGATGACTGTGACCTGTCACGTAGGCATGATCGCCAATGATTTTGCGCAACATTTGATAAACTGTGAGCTGATAGGCCTGCAAAGTCTGTAATGTAAATGAAGTTGCAAACAATCCATAAGTCAGTATGGTGTTGATGCATGTTCTCCACAAATACAGTCTGTGTTGTAACCGGAATTGTCGGTGACGGAGCCATTGAGCCAGTCTAGCAAAAGCACTCCATGCAGCTCTTCGACGATGGTTCCATGTTTGCAGTTCAAAGGCGTGGTATGACATCACGGTGCCAAGGTAAATCCCATGACTGCGCAGGGGTAGCTCCGTTTTGCTGCCATCGCGCCGTGGAAACAAGGCAAAGGTCTCGCGGTTGGTGCGCTTGAAACGGCTTTTCATAGCCCCGCGTTGGTTGCTCCCTGTTGTGGCCAATATGACATAGGATTTCTGGTAAGAGAGCTGAAGTAAATCTTCAATACAATCCAGCAAATGTCCAATATTGGTCATGTGGCGATCCAACTGCCCTGGGGTGTGGAAGCAGCAACCAACATGCAGATCGTCCGCATACAATGTCAGACAATTTCGAATCCAGTCTTCCCCAGTCAGGGGTACCAAAAGATCAAGCAGCCGGTGCATAAAAACCACCCACAATATGGGAGCGATTTTGCAGCCTTGTCGAAGGCCAATGCCTGCTGATATGTGAGTGGTGTCATTTTGGAACATTAAATTGTATTGTGTGTTTTCATGCCAATGTGTGATGATAGTCAGTAGATCAGGTGGGATTTGTAATTTGTGGAGGTGTTCAATTAACGTGGCTCTGTGGACACGGTCGAAAGCTTTGGTTAAGTCTAGAAACAGCTGTAGGCCTCCCATGAGGGTGGCTGTGGGAGGAGATCTCATTTGGGCTGCAACTGTCCTCCGATGGTTTTTCACCAGCTCCCGGATCAAAGCGCAATGCCTAGAGACCCTACAGATCGCATCTGTTGCGGCTCGCATTGGCAGGAAGCCAAAATGGGGACCCTGACACAGGGTCCTTGTCAAATGCCGCTTCAGGCAGTCTGTGACCAAACCCATCACCAGTTTTCCAAGGGTTTCCATGAGTGAAATTGGTCTCAATTGGTCTGGTCGGTTACAGGCCTTACCAGGTTTGGGGATGAAATATACCCACGAGTCTTTCCATTCTTGCGGGATGATTGGGGGGTAAACATTCCACCATTGGGTTAATAGTTGATGCAAATAAGTGGCCACCAACTGAGGGTTTCCCTTCCACACAATAGCGGGCAAGAAAGGCATGGCTACTGACTTGTTTGGATGCAGTCTGGTAACAGCTCTGGCAATGTCATCTACCGAGAACGGAACCCCAGGGGGGTGTTCAGAAAAATGTGGCAATGTGCAAGGGCCTTGCCAGGTGCTTCGAACATAGTCCGCCAGCAGTGCATGGGTTTCAAACTGGTCAGCAATGTTGCCATCTTTTGTACGGAGTCTGAGTTTCATCATGGGTTTGCGAGGTGAAAACTTGTTAATGATGGAAAACATCTGTTGTGCATCATGTTTGTCTGCAGCCCTACTGACCTGATCGCAGAGCTCGGCAAATCGGCGTGATCTGGCCAGGCGGGCACGCTTCTGTTGCGTCCGTCGCAAAAATGAAAATCTGCTCCAATGCTGCCACACTTGCCAAATGAATCTGAGCGTGATGTGTGTGGTTTGACAGGCGTGCCTCAGAAATTGATGATGTCTCCACTTTTCCTGTATCGCAGTGTGAAAGTCCGTATATTCAACTTTGGGTAATTGATTTCTGGATCCATGAAAAAGTTCTTGAAATTTGGGAATAATTTGTTGATGAATGAGTTGGATGTCAGTATGGTCATGTGTGGTGTCCTGCTGTCTGACGGTGATCACCTCGTGTAGGTGCTCTTGGAGTTGATGCCATTGGCTGGTATCCTGCAGTTGTGCTTGTCGGCATTGGATCCTTTGTGCAAAATTGCAGGCTCTGACAGTACGGTCTGGATGATACGCCATGTGGATCTTTCGGATTGTTCCTAAAATTGGGACATGGTGTGTCTGGTTCAGGGGTACAAAAGGAGCATGATATAGATGTTGGACATGTTTGGATTGGCCATCGCATGCATTCAAACGGGTAATCAGGAAATCAATGCGAGATGCATACATGCCATGCTGATAGGTGTATCCTGCATCGTGCCATGTATTCAGTGCAACCAGTCCTTGAGATTTCAAGAGGTCCTTGAACATTTGCATATCCTGGTGTTGGGCTCCACGATCTTGTTGGGCACGCCATTTGAAAGTGTCTGGGCCACACCACGGTTCAGCTCGCGGCAAGGAACAATTAAAATCACCTCCACAGATGAGTTGATTGCGATTTGGCAAACGGCTGATGTGTTCGGTCAATTGACTCCAAATCTGTCTGCGATGCCTAGCAGAGTCTGGGGTGCGGTAGTCAGTGAACTGATATACCGCCATCACATCTGTGGCCCGTTTTGCAAAATGCAAACGAATGTGTAAAATCCGGCCAGGGTGCACCATGGTGTAGCCGATGTTGTCTGAGGCACACCACCGTTGGGCTATCATAACCAGAAGCCCTCCTGACTTGGCTTGTTCTGAAGGGCTGTGCACGTACGACCAGTCCTTATCATTCCAACAGGCCTCAAAACCCCAGCGTGTCTCTGAGATGATCACCAAATCAACGGGTTGGCAGTGCAGCCAATGCTTGAGCTCCTGAAAGGTGCTTTGGCTCATGCCACCCGGGTTCCAATGGAGTATCCGAATTCTTGGCCTGTGCTTGTTGGTGTGCAGCATCATGTTGGGGACAGGTCGGTGCTCCTCTGTCTGCTGTACTGATTGCACCAGTCCGGAAGGAAAATCTGAAGGTCGCATGCATTGTCCTTTGTACCATGTTTGTCCTGTCAGAACAGCTCGACGGCAAGCTCGTTTGTAGCTGCGTTTCTGTACTGCAGTATATTGCTGCTTAAAAGGCTGCTGATTCGGGCCGTGGCCCACTGTTGGCGGTGTTCCACTGGTTTTCGCCCATTGTGGAAAGAATTTTGTCCAATCTGGCGCTCTCGCCATGTCCGTGGCAACATGGCAACCCTCACCCTCATGATCACCGTGTCGTCTGAAAAAGCTGGTGATTGTAGACTGTATGGGTTGACTACAGTTGATGTCCTCCTCGGTGATCATGCCCGGCATTGGGACCGGGTTGCAGATAGCGATAACCAGAATCCCGTAGATAGATCTCCAAATAAATGGCAGAGTCATATGCGAAATCTGGTTGTAAAACACACAGCAGGACACTTGTACCACACAAGGGATTGCTTTGTCCAGCAGGTGGGTACAGCGGTGTCAGGGTTGTCAAATTAAGCCCAAATAAAGAAAAATCTGGTCACTCAAATGTCAATTGTACCGTGCAGCTGTTGAAATGGGACAGTCAGCTTGGATGCCCAGTCCAATGTCAATATCAGGCCAGGGAAGATCACGGGGGCCCACCCCGGCTTGGAAAATTGAACACTCTTCTGGACCAGTTAGCAAAGGCTGGATGCCCAATCCAATGGCAATGTCCGGAAAACCCTAATAGCGGCCGGGCAATGGCTGCAGTATTCCGCTGTGGTTCCTCACCACTTGAGGCGGGTATCGCACCCGCAAAGGGCTTGTGTGTGTGTGTGGTTGGTGTGTGTGTGTGGTTGGTGTGTGTGTGTGGTTTGTGGGTGTGTGTGTGTGGGTGTGTGTGTGTGTGTGTGTGTGTGTGTGTGTGTGTGTGTGTGTGTGTGTGTGTGTGTGTGGTGTGTGTGTGTGTGGTGTGTGTGTGTGTGTGTGTGTGTGTGGTGTGTGTGGTGTGTGTGTGTGTGTGTGTGTGTGTGGGGTGTGTGTTTTGGGACCCCATGACCTTTCGTGTCAGCAGGCTCGAACCCTATCACATGATTTCCATGTGGCCCATACCAGGAACATTTTGACGTCCGGTTCCTGTTGATGGGGCTTACCAGACTGGCGGCCTCTTAAGGCATTTGGGCACATGTAATACCAAAAGTCCTACAGGTGGTTGTTAGTAGGAAAGGTAAGTGCCAGGAAAATTGTTGAAACCAAATCGAATTGCAAAAGGAGAAAGTGAGAAGAATCTGAACTCTAACGCCCTCTCTCATGGCATCAGAAGCAGCTCAGCACTCACCGTGCAACAGCGCTTGCATGCACCACTCTGCCCAGCTGCAGCAGCAAAGCGCAGCGCAGCCACCCAATGTAGACAGCAGCAGCAGCCGCTTTAGTGCAAGGCCCGTAGCTGCATGGTTTGCACCCCGAACACAGCCAGTTAAATCGGCCGCAGGAGAAATGCGCACTGCATCCAGTCTCACAGGTCCTTAGTGTGTCATCGCACTGGCTGACGCTTCGGCTGAAGAGACCTCACAGGAGAGTACCTCATCAGACCGTTCGGTCTCAGCTGGTTCAGAGTGTCCTGTGCGGGCACGCTTGGTGTCCTGAATCACTGGTGTCTCCTCTGCAGAGGCCTCATTCAACGTTGAAGTGGCCATATTCAGGGTGGTAGCGGAGCCTCCAGTGATGCTCCCTCCAGATGATGTCGCCATGGTCTTCGACTGTAGCGGCAAAGACTGAAGTGTGCCGGCACTGCTGTTTGTAGATGGCAGTGCATCCACACTGCTCCCTGGTCGATCATGCATCGTCCTGACAGAGAGGTTGTCTGGATATACGAGCCAAGTCATGGTCATGTTGCACAAAATCTCATCAGTCAATTGGTCGACTTGATCTGGAAGTTTGTTATCATCATAGATTAGCCAGCTACCGTGGTACTTCAGAGCTGTTCTGTGGTGTCCAGTGTTGGGTCCATGTCCAATATGAAAAGTCACAGCCGCAATGTGAAAAGTGAGAAACTGAATCCTCCCCTCAGCATCTGCAAAGCAAGGGAATTCAACTGTGCCATCTGCGATGTCAATGGTTTGAGTGCATTTTTGATTGTGCCCATCAATGTGCCGGTCGAACATCAAAACTAGGGATCTACTTGCCTGGTCACTTGCTCGACAAAGACCTGATGAATCATGCCAGAATGAAATCAAGTCTCGAAGTGTGCACTGAATGGCTGTATGATCAATAAAACGCATCAAAACGGGTGCAAATCGATCTCCCTTTTCACTGTCCAGCAATGGGTGTGACACTTTTGTGACCCACTGGAATTTCGTACACCAACGGCATGAGAGGAAAGTAGGGCCCATTCGATCAATGATGAAGGTAGCAAACTCCAAAATGTCTTGCTGGGCCGTCAAGTCCTCTGCCGTGAAAGCCCCAAAGAGCAGCCAGAGAAAAGGCTGAAAAGTTCTCAAATTCAACGGAAATGGATTCCATTGACACAAACCCCTCAAAAGCTCAAAGCCATACGCCCA